TCCCTGATAAAAATAAATAAATAAATAAACAGAAATGATCACATTGGCTTTGGGGATCGTAGTCTGGCCCCACATGGAACTATAAGCATCGAGTACAAACGTGTTATGAAAGTAGACAAGCTAGAAGACCTTAAACCAGCCTTGGTCTTCAAGACTCTGATATGCTGCAATAACCTCAACAAACCCATCTTTTCCAAGGCCTAAGCCAGAATATGCTCTTGAGAGGTGAGAATTGAGATAAGTAGAGTTATATTGTGTTAGAGCATATATCTTGTTTATGTTACTGTTAATACAGTTGCTGATAACTGCATCAACGATTCTGTACTTTGCTCCTAATGGAATGGCTCCTTCTGATCTTCTCTTTGTCAAGGGATAGAGTCTTGACTCTGATCCGTCTCCAAATACAATAGCTGCAACACTCTGCATAGATGAATTCTCAAACATTATACACACATTCTAAGCATTTCCAAACCTTGGCAAAAACTACATTTACAAACTAAACGGTTTACGAGTTTATCCAGAAATAGCTTTCATTTCAAAGTTATATAAATATATCGATTGGAAGATCAATAGCAGAAAGTTGAAACTAGAAAAATAGACCTGATTTACTGGAGAGAATGAGGATATGGGGTGTTGAGGTTGATGAGAATTGGATATGAACAAACTTGGCAAAGAGAAAGAAGATAAAGTTGTTAAATATTTTCGACTACTATGAGCCAATTCAAGGATGGAGAACTTTGCTTGGGGATTTACAGGGATGGGACCAGAAAGCTGCAACATCACCATGTCAAGAGAGAGCAATAGACTATAAGATGTATCAGTGTATGAAGATGAACCCTCAGTCAAAATTATGATCTTTCAATGTATATTTAGCATCTTCTCTCTGCATTGCAGATTTAAAAGAGTCGTATGGAAGAGAATATTTTGATTTCTTCTTCCTGCTGGCTATTGCAAAGAGAAATCTTCCTTGCAGGGCTTGTATTTGCAGACTGTGCCAGACAGTCACAAACAAAGCTAGCCGTAACTCATACTCACAAACTGTGCCAGCATAATGACAAGCTTTCACGGTTCATTTGGGCGGCTTTGTTTGTGATACTATGTTTAACTTTGATTCTAAGCTTCGTGTCGCCTTTTTTTTTTTTTTTTGTTTAATCTTTATTCCTTGGCTTGATTGCGTTTTGTTCACTTTATTTGTTCGTATTCGCCAAGTTAATGGTACATAACAGATTTACCACATCGTCCTTTCAGCCTTCTGAGAATGGCTCTCGCTTCATTTCCCTTGTCTTTTGTTTTGGGGCAAAAGAGAAAGGGGGTTAACAAGCAAGATTGATTGGGACAGTTTGGTCATTTTGTCTGAGAAGGAAGCTTGGAGGGCAATAGCTAGTGCCTGGCATTTTGGAATAGAGTGGTTATCAAGGAAGGTATTGTCTCAGGTTCATGGGGTTATGGCCATCCGTCTCTTTTTCTCTCTTTGTTCTTTTCATTCTTCCATCCCCTCATCTGCACATTTACAATACAGCGTAGCTTCATGGGGAATTCTGTTTTCTGCGTTCTTTTTCTTCACATGCAGAAAACAGCAGCAAGATGGCCGGAGTGAGAAATATTATGGCTGATCTGTTCAGGAAATATTAAGGCAGTATTCTCCATTGGCGAGGAGACAAGGAAAAGTAACGTAAGACAACGAACACAGTTCCCAAAGAACTAACAGAATAATAAATAATCCTTTCGTTCATCTTTCTTTCCAGAAATAGCTTTAAGGCATTTCTTGTCAAACTTGGGTAGTTCTATCTATTCATATTCATTTGACATGTCAAGATATGTGAGCAGCTAACATAGTTCTGTGATGTCTCTTCCATTGCCTATGCAATTTCATGAATTAAGGAAAATAATTGCAATTGACAAATGGCTGACTATCATCTGAGATGTTGAGCTTGAGGCTGCCCATTTGTTGTCTCATCAAATTCTGAAAAAATTCGAGCAGTTCCAAAGAAAATGAATCTACAAGTCCCATGCAAGATGATACTGGGTATAAAAGATTTGATAAACTCTCCTCAAAGCGACAGTACCATTACTTTAGATGGTGCTCAAACAAGGATGCCATCTCAATCTGCAATACAAAACAAATTAACAAAAAATTAATTAAGTTATCCAGTCAAAACATTCAAAAAAGTAATTTATTTTCTTGTCTCGTTATATCTCAGCCAGGAAGAAGTACAAATAGTGATTCCAAATTTTTAGATAGATCAAGTTGTTATATTACTAGCAAAAGGAAATAACCATGGTGTGATAGGAACAAAATGGACTTCATTGTATCATTTTAGCTTATTAAATCCAAAAATAATAAATTTGATAATATGCTAAACTCAGGTTTAACTAGGCTCGATAAGTAGTCAAGAATAAGAGTGTTGAATCTAACAACTAATTAGATCTATACTCACTTGGACTCGGATTTGATAACACATCAAACCAATATTTAATTGAGCTAGGCAAGTAAACGAGCACAACCAATATTTAATTGAGCTAGGCAAGTAAACGAGCACAAGGTCGATGAGTTAATATCTAATTAGGTAACCAATCCCTCAATCACTAGGTCTGGTATGCTCATTTAGGCTCTTTGAATGATGTATCTTGGCATGATTTTCTATCACGCTTAGAGCTGTTGGGTATGAACACAAACTCCACTCTCCCAGCAAAGAATTAACACTACGTGCAAACTAGGGCTTGACCTAGCGGTGGAAGAGGCTTGTCTCCTTCTACTGCACCTGGGTTCGAGCCCTAGCGTGCACGCCTGTCACCTCCACAGTGCCTTACATGCCTACTGGGTTTGTAGGATATTCAGTGGGCCATGGGGATTAGCCGTGGTACGCGCAAGCTGGCCCGGACACCCCACATAAATAAATAAAAAAAAGAAAAAAAGAATTAACACTACTTATTTGAACCTTCTAAACATGAGTTAGGCTCCTAATTCACTTTTTATAATGCCAAAAAATGTTGATCCATCAGTTTTAAAGTTATTTATTGGTTTACCAGACCCTTCTTCAAGAATGGGATTCGATGATAAGTGTTTTCTTCAAGTGATGCACCAAACCCTTGCCTGCATTTGGCGTGCTCCCATCATAAAAATTACAAAGCAATGTCCATGCGTGAACATGTGTGAATTGCAAACTGGTCCGTGTCCTCCATCTAACCACAGAAGCCTGCCTTCTACTGTAGATGGCACTAAATATTTTTTTGTTTTGTTTCGTAAGATGCTAAATAAGTGGGATTTTGCTTTGTTTCGTAAGATGCTAAATAAGTGGGAATCTGAACTTATAATTTTAAATGGTTTATATTGAATTAAACTATGAAAATTATAGTAATTTTTTAATAACCAATAACAATCAAATTATTTTTTCTAATTTTCTCCAAGTAGATAGAGCTAAGAATTTTATCTAGTTCTAATCACTAACCGGTTATTTAAACTGTGATTCATCACAAGTTATATAATATTTTTAATAAAAAAATATGCAAGTTTTTTAAACATGTTTGTATTTTTAAAAAATTTTAATTATAAACCAAAACACAAACACGCGCGCCCACACACACATATATATAATTAAATATATCAAGAACGGTCTATGCCAAAAAAATAAAAAATAAGGTATTAATATGTTTATTCGACTCGTTTTGCTGAGCATCAAATAATTTATTTTCTAACATAAAAAAATTAATATACAAGTATTATTAATATATTTCTTAACTTCAAATAAAAAATATAATTATGAATTAAAAAAATTAATGCTTATATATGATAAAATACATTAAAGATTATATATGTTTATAAAAACATGTAAAATTTCAAACTATTTTTTAACGTAGTAGAATAATAAAATAATATTGTAATTGCTACAATGAAATATTATTTCCTTAGTATTTGTATGACATTTTTTTCAAAAAGATAAAAGTATAAAGAAAAAAATAAAAACAATAATAAAATAATAAAGATAAGAGAAAAAAAAGGTGTAAATAAGCCAATAGTAGAGTGCTAAATATTTAAAATGTAAAAAATAAAAAAATAATATTTTTTCACAAAAACAAAGTGTAAGGAAAAAAACTAAAAAATAAAAATAGCAAAAATAATGGTGATAAATAAGGCAAGTGTAAAATAATAAAAATATTAAAAAAAAACTTTAAAATTATAATTTTGTCACTGCTACAATATCGTTATAGTAAAAAATTAGAAAAATTTACAATTATGCTATTTTTATAAGAAAATATCATTTTTTTATATACATACTAGTTATTTGACCCATATTTCGTCACAAATTTAATAATTTTTTTTTAAAAAAATATAAGCTTTTCAAATTTTTTTCCTAAAACAATTATAATTATAAATTAAAAGATCTATATATGCATTTAATTAAATACATTGAGAATCATATCTGCTAATAAATACAAAAAACAAAGTATTAACATATTTTAATATAAAATAATTAATATCTAGGTGTTATTAATGTATTTTTATATTTCAAGTAAAAAAATATAATTGTTAAAAAAATGATTCTAAAAAATTTAATTGTTAAAAAAAATTAATTCTTACATATAATAAAGATTATATACAATAATAAAAATATATAAATTCTCAAACTAATTTTTAATATAGTAGAGAATGGAATAATATTACAATTTTTACTGTAAAATATCATTTATTTAATCTTTGTATAATACGATTTTTTCAAAAAAAAAATGTAGAAAAAATATATATTATAAAATAATAAAGATAAGAAAAATATACATACAAATGAGTGATAAATATATCAATTTTTAAATAAAAAAATATTAAATATAAAAAAATATATAAAAAACTTATTTTCTAAAAAAAAACTTTAAATTTACGATTTTGTCACCCCGTATCGTTACAGTAGTTAAAATTTATAATTATATCATTTTTAAATATATATTTTTTTATGTATAATAATAATTGAAGAAAAAAAAATCAACGAAAAAGCAAGACACAAAAGCCCCGTGTGCGCCTGTCTCCCTGAAGTAACCGCAACAAGAGACAGAGGAAGAGAAAATGGAGAATAGAGAAGATTTGAAGTCGATGCTACCGTTTCTGCCTTTATTACTTCGCTCATCAAATCTGTTTTGGCCATCACAAGTTGTTGAATCACTCAAAACACTCTCCAAAGGACCTTTTTACAGCAAAGTTGACACTGGTGAACTGCTTTTCAATGCTATTTCCAATATCAGAGATTCTCTTGCTCTCCCTTCTATGCATCGTCTCTCTCCTTTTGCCCATAAAGGTTATGCTCTCTTCTTTGATGAGGTAGCCTATCAAACTCAACTGGGTTTCTCTCCTTTTTTTTTTCTGGGTTCTCTAATTTTTATTCATCTTTCAAGCTTGGTGGTTAAAGATGTTCAAACTTTTCTACAAGGAGAGTGATTAGAAAAAGACGCATCATTTCTTTTGCTCCTATATATGATTCATTGATTACAAAGTTCTAAACTTTGACAGAAAAGTTGTCATATTGGTGAACTACGAAGGAAATGTTGCCAGTTTCAGGCTAGGAGTGTAATTTGACGAAAACCCATTATTTCTTACTTCTTCTTAGTTGGTCTTATATAACGTGATGCTTTTTTAATAAAGTTCTGAGCTTTCAGTACATGTTTTTAGTATCTTCATATGCATGAACTGATGTCTATCAGATTGTTTTAGCTTGGTTGAGATTATGTTATAGCAATAAAGAGGATGTTTTATGTATTGTACTGATGAGGAGGAGTTTAATGCAGCTGATTTCACGGGAAGAGGCAGCAAAATGGTTTGCTGACGTTCTCCCAACATTGGCTAAATTGCTCTTGAGATTGCCATCTCTTTTGGAGTCTCACTATCAAAATGCTGATAACTTGCGTAATGGTGTCAAAACTGGTTTTCGCCTGTTGGGTCCACAAGAAGCTGGCGTGGTGTTCCTCGGTCAGGTATCTCCGAGTGTTTAGTTGTTCTTTTCTCAAGTACCAGTTTTTTTATTGGATTCGAATTATGCTTCAAATGCGTCATGGGAGAAATGAATTACAGTTTAATAATGTACTTAGAAAAGCATTTCTTCAATTTTTAATATTATATACTGATAATGTTACTCAAATGCTACTTTTCAGGAATTGATTGGTGCTCTCCTTGTATGCGCTTTCTTTTGTTTGTTTCCAGTCTCTGATAGAGATAATAAACGTCTTCCAGCAATCAATTTTGATCATTTGTTCGAGTATGTGACCTTCAGCTTTCTTTTGTGAAGATCTTGAACTTATGCATATGTAGTAACTACGAGCTGTGGGTATTAGACCTCAAATTTTCACTACCTGGGCTAGCTACTATCCACTGGTATTTTCATATGGCTCTCTTCATCCTTTGTTTTCTCATGGGGACAATATTTTGTTCAAAAGGAAACTAATTCAGACATATAATTACTTCATGCTAGAGGTTTAGGTGTATCTTTGTAGGCTACTGTGCCACATATAAAATGCTTATTTGTTCTGGAACTGGAACCATATTGTTAACTTCTCATGTCTTCTTCTCTATATTTTATAACATCAGAGAGTGTTGAACACAGTTGTTTAGGATCTCCAAAACCCATATTCTTAAGAAAAAGACCTGGCAGCTCACTAACAGTATAGTGTGACATAAACAGTCTCTGTTGGTTATTTTTATGCCACATTTCATTGTTCAGTTAAATGAAAGTTTTAGTGATATATGCTATTTACTAATTTGTTTTGCCTCTTCAATTTGGTTTACCTTGTTTCTGTTTTATTGAACTCTTGTTAAACTGTTTTTCTTGACCTGGAAAATAGATCCATCTGACACATCATCTCATCTCAGGGATATATATTCGAGTTACAGTGAAAAGCAGGAGAACAAAATAAAGTGTATTATACATTATTTTGAAAGGATATGTTTATCTATGCCTGAGGGCTCTATCTCCTTCGAGAGGAAGGTTCTTCCTTTGGAACAACATCCCTTGTGTGTTTTTTATCCCAAGGCAGATTTTTGGATCAAATCTGTTGTTTCTCTCTGCACTTTAGAGGTAAGGTGATAAATGGATTGGCGCATAGCTAGTGAAAGTTCAAATTTAAACAATGTGTAAAATTATCAACCTATTTCAGTAACTTGTTTAATTTCATTTCTTGAGTTTTAGACAATTACTTCTTAGCTGGTCATTACATTTTGCTAGGACTATAGTTCAGGCCTCATTGAAGACCAATCCAGTGGAACTCTTGAAGTTGATTTTTCTAACAAGTATCTTGGAGGTGGTGCTCTTCATAGGGGCTGCGTGCAGGTATAGACTTTTTTATGGACAGTTGATGTCATTGTTTATGGTTCATACTCAAATTAGTCCATTTATTCATTCAACCCTTCTTTTCTTTTATTGTTTCTTGCATATTTTTCCTTATTGTCATGTTACAATTGCTGTTATCTTCTTGCAATATTACTTAAACGATACCCTCAACATTGTTGTGCTATTATCTTTTCTAGGAAGAAATCCGGTTCATGATCAATCCTGAATTAATTGCTGGAATGCATTTCTTACCTTGCATGGAAGACAATGAGGCTATTGAAATTGTTGGTGCTGAAAGATTTTCAAATTACACAGGGTGAGCATAACTTGGTGAAATCCGAAACTTGATTTTGGATATATCATTAAGCAATATATCTGTTTTGTGTTCCTTGAATCACATGAATTTCAATGGTATGCATTGAATTGGTGTGTTATAAACTCGTGTCTAGGTATAGTGCACAGATTGGAGTATATACAATTGGAAATTAATCATGCCCTTGATGAGTTTCCAGCCGGTGGGCTAACAGCCTTGTTACTCTCAATGTGTAGATCTATCCAATGTCACTATCATAGACCAAACTGTATGTGTTCCTATGGTGTGCTGTTTTTTATGTGTCTTGGCTTACACCGAAGCACTTTTTTGGAACTGAAATTATATTTGCTAAAATGGACAATCCATTCCATTTCTGATGGTTTTTTAATGAGAAATTAGATAGCAATCACACACTTTCTTTACTTTGTGAAAATTCTACGTGTTGATGCATGCCATAAACCAGAAATGTGAAGAAATGAAAATGACTTGGTTCCATATGCATTATGAAGTACTTGTGCAATTATCATCTTCTGTAGGTGCCGAAGTCATACACACTCTCCAAAATGTCAATCTACAGTTTTTGTGATGATGTATTATGAGTATTATTAATGAATTAATGGCTTTTGCAGAAGATTTATCTTTCAATCTGTTTTTTCTTCCTGTTGGTTCAAATATATCTACTTTACTTAATTGATAGGACTTCTCATCCATGATTGACTAGTTTACATCTAGCCTGCCTTTGTTTGCTATCATATAAATTTTTAATGTTGAAAAATATAATTTTTTATCATATCTGCCACATTTAAAATAACAAGCATTCCCATATGAGCGGAATACTGATTTAAGTTAACTAATGTTGCAGTCAATTTCTTCTCATAGTCTGCTCTTACATTGGTGCAGGTATGCCTCTTCATTTCGTTTTTCAGGTGACCATGTGGACAAAAGGGATGTTGATAGTTTCAGAAGACGTAGAACCAGGATTGTTGCCATAGATGCATTGTGCAATGCAGGGATGGAACAATATAAACTTGAATACCTCCTTCGGTATGTTAAATTTGGTTTTCCAGTGCCACAGCCTTGCATATGAATTGAAAGGGAGATTTTTCTATGAGAGAATTTATAGAAGAGTGTAAAAAGTTCCATTCGTGAGTTACTGATATGAAAAATTGTATTCAAGGAAGAATCACCTGTGTAAATAAAGAAAGAGAAATGTCCCCAAAAACAATGCCACATTGTTTCAAAAATGTGACAAGCAGTCTATGCTCAAGAACAATATGACTTTCTCCGTCTTTCTCAAAAGGAACAATCTCCCTTTTAGTTTCATCAGCTCCATTGAGGCTCTTCCATGCAGACCAAAAGGTTGTGCATGTTGAGTGGACCTTCATGAAAAATTGATGCCATTTTCTTTTGAGGAAAAAAAAAAACAGAATTTTCAAGCTAGAACATGCTCTGGTAATGTTTATTTAATATGACTCTTTTAATTGAGAACTCAGGAAGCTCTAAAGTCTGAAGGCTAAGTCTGGTTGGCTCGGAAAATAGTATGTTCTTGTGTCTCCTTCCTCCTCCTTCCAGTGTAGAGTTTTTGACAATGTTTTGTGAAAACACTTACTAGAGTGGCTTGGTTTGGGGTAGATGAGTTTGCCCTTTGTGACAGTGGTTGAAATTCGTTATATATACTCATAACCAATAATTTAGCATGGTGTCTAAATAGTGCTTCAGAGTTTGCTATGTGAAGCTGTTAAATTATGTAGAACAATGAAGAGAACTGCACTGTTGGTTTATCTTTCGACATGGCTTTATTGCCTGTATATGTAGCCTGTTAAACTGTTGGTTCACTATCTTGCTAACCAGCCTTGAGGGAAATTATGTTCATTTCTCTGAATCCTACTTGTTTGGTTTTCACAGGGAGACCAACAAGGCATTCTGTGGCTTTTTGGATCAATCTAAATGTGACCATAAAAGACTGTTTCAAGATGGTGGTTTGAAAGGTTCTCAGTGTATTCAAGCTGGTAAAGATGATGATGTTATGGTGAAGGACTTCCTGGTGTGAGCTCTCCCATGTTCTTCTGGGTGTTTTGCCTTTCGTTTCCTTTTTATTTGTTATACTCAGAATGATATGAACCTGCTTTGAAATAGATGGATGAAGCCCCCTCGACTTCTGTTGAAATTGCATTGAATGGAGAGGAATCTGTAAACCAAGTGATCAGATATTCTGACAAGAAGGGTAGTTGGTGTGAAGACCCTGAAGCTAAAATTGGTATTGCTACGGGGAATTGGGGATGCGGAGCTTTTGGTGGAGATCCTGAACTAAAGTCCATAATTCAGTGGCTTGCAGCTTCTCAGGTAATCTTTTGCTGAGCTTCACTTGCAATAGCTATCAAAAGATATGTAGGGGAGTGGAAGTGTTAGAGTTTTTAGTAGCAGCTTTTACATCTTGACCTTGTGTGGGAGGTATTGTTAACCAAACAACTGCAGGATTACCATCACAAACTTGTAGAGTACATAATTTATATATCTCATAGACCATTGTGAAATAATTTTTGAAATTGGTAGTAGTGTGGTGCCTCATCTAGTAGTGAAACTTTTATTCAACTAGCTTACCTTTTTTCTGCTTGATACCAACATTTCCTTTAATCAATGTGCATTTCTTTCAGGCATTAAGACCTTCCGTTTTGTACTACACATTTGGCTTAAAATCATTGCAGAATCTGAATCAGGTACTAGTAGTGATCTCGGCACTAGTGAACACTTCTTTATGGAAGTGTGGAAATGATCTACCCCAAGAAATTAATTAAGCTGATCAGAATAAACTACAATCTTTGTCGTTTTCATATACTATATTCTAAGCCATGCTAATATATGCTTTATTGCTTCATTGTTCTGCAGTTAAGTCGATGGATTCTGTTGCATGGATGGACGGTCGGAGACCTTTGGTATATGTTGGTGCAGTACTCTTCTCAGAGATTCAACAAGGAAACTAACTTGGGATTCTTTGCATGGCTGCTCCCTTCGCAATTTGCCCACGAGGCTCCTTAACTTGTTTATTTATTTATTTATTTATTTTAACTATGTAATTAACTTTGTAGCTTCACTTTTTTAATCTATCATATTCCAGTAGTTCTCTTCATGTAAGAAATGCAACTTTGCTCTAGTTGAGTATTTAAAATGCTTGCCCAACCTTGTAAATCAAACTAAGACATGGATATTCTTCATAAGAAATCCATGGTAGGCATTCAAAAATGTTATGATCTGCTCTTTTTTATAAAATTAATCATCTTTTTTGTTAGTGGGATTCTTAAAGATTATTATTTGATGAGGATGTATTTTTTTTTTTTCCTGTAATGTTGGTGCAAGATCAATGTTATTTAGGCATGGAAGAATCTCGGCAACAAGAATGCAAGCTGCCATTTTCGCTATTGTTGTTTCCTCCCAATAACAAACTATGGATTAAGGATATGAATGGGAGGGATCTGTGTGTTCTAATTGTGCAGACAGCGATATTATTGACATTGAGAAATTTATCCGAAGTAAGATGTCAATTTTTTTCTGTTTTATTTGGAGTAATTAAAAAAATTTATATTAATTTAAAAATTAAAATAAAACAGAATAATTTTCATTTTATTTTAAATCTTTGTCTATTCTGGATTTTTTAACTAAATTTTAATTGAAATATTCTGATTTCATTCCACATATTTTATTCCGGTTTTGAAAAGTCATTTTATTCCGGTTTTGAAAAGTCATTAAATCTAGTTTAATTTAATTAATTAAATCTAGTTTAATTTAATTAACTGAACTATCTAAGTATAAAAAACTCTTTTTCATTACTATTTTCAATAACAATGATATTAACAATAATATTAAAAATTACTATTATTATTTTTATTAACAATGATATTAATTTTTAAAAAATAAATTTATCATTAATATATATAGTTTATATTCATGTTTTTTTTTAGTTTATACTTTATAGGAATTTGAGCAAAATAAATGATATTTTAGATCTCATTAGTTTTGATAACATTAACCTGGTTTTATATTTAAAATATTTGTGTTAAAACATTTTAATTTTATAATATTTTGGTAATTTGTTTAAGTTGAATTATTTTATTTCAAAAATCTATTTAATTTTAACTATTTTAAAACATTTTAAAAATTTAAATTATATTTGTTTAATATTGTATTTGTATTGCATATTCTATAATTACTTCATTTTAAATTTAAATTATATATATATATCTTTGTCTATTCTGGATTTTTTAACTAAATTTTAATTGAAATATTCTGATTTCATTCCACATGTTTTATTCCGATATTGAAAAATCATTGAATCTGGTTTAATTTAATTAATTAAATCTAGTTTAATTTAATTAATTAAACCATTTAAGTATAAAAAATTCTTTTTTCATTACTATTTTCAATAACAATGATATTAACAATAATATTAAAAATTACTATTATTATTTTTATTACCAATGATATTAATTTTTAAAAAATAAATTTATCATTAATATATATGATTTATATTCATGTTGTTTTTTTTTTTAGTTTATATTTTATAGGAATTTGAGCAAAATAAATGATGTTTTAGATCTCATTAGTTTTGATAACATTGACCTGATTTTATATTTAAAATATTTATGTTAAAACATTTTAATTTTATAATATTTTGATATTTTGTTTAAGTTGAATTGTTTTAAGTCAAAAATCTATTTAATTTTGATTATTTAAAAATATTTTAAAATTTAAAATTATATTTGTTTAATAATATATTTGTATTGCATATTTTATAATTACTTCATTTTATATATATATATATATATAATCCTGAAATGATACCACGAAACATTCCAAAACTTCAAAACCATTCCATTTCAATTAAAAAAACAAAACCGCGATCAACCTTTTGCTCTGAAGTGACAATGCAAGAAACTATTCTTTCTTCAATGTGCCTTTTCTTTCAAGTTTGTTTGAAAAATTAACAAAGTGAGAAGGACCAGAGGCCCACCTGGCCTGATAATAAAACCTTGATAAGATAAAACAGCAGTTAGGCTTATCCTTCCCTTCTCCGTGATTCTCTCGCTCTCTCACAACTGTAAGTAAGAAAGAGCCTCTGCTGCTCCTGCTCTAACTCTCGAGGTTTTACCTTATCTATAAGAACAAGGAGGAGGAGGAGGAGGAGGATAAAAGGCACATCAAGGAGAATAACCAGTGAATAAGGTAAGCACCAACCCGCTACCAAGTTTTGCAAGAAATGACAGTATGCTATGCCTTTTGAGCTTCCATATACATCATTCATGGCGATGCCTTAATCTCAATATTAGTCGAGTTTTTTTTTTCTCTTACGAATTATTTTCTTGATATTCTCAAAACCCATTATATAAAAACATAAAAGCATTTAATTTGTGCAATCATTTGAACTGGACATGGTTCTTTGAACTGGAATTTTAGATTTTCCTTTCTTATTTTTTGTTGAAATAATGTGCAGGAATGGCAGTACAGCTCCACCATTTGCTTTCACCCATTAGAGATAATAAATTCAAAGACTTTCCTTCATTTCCTTTTATCACTTCTCATTCCGAATCCAAACCAACCAGCTACACTGATGTTTCTTTCACTTGTTCTTGTCTCTCATCCAAGTTTTTAAAGTACCCTTCTCAGGTATGTTGCTTCTCATTTGACAATTTATGCTACTCATGTTCAAAGTTCTCAAATTTTCTTCTCAAAACTTTTGTTTCTTAAAGAGATACTGAACACTTTGTTTAATAGCTACATGGTGGTGGTTTTCAAATTGGTATTAGTAGAGCTTCCCGAAGAGATGAAAGAGTCTTGTCTGATGATGGGAAGAATAAACGACGAGAAGAATTTAGTGACAGCGATGATGATGATGATGATTACTCGTCGAGAAAAGGTAAGGTGAATGACCCCTATCTTATGGATGCTGAAGAGAGACGGGAGTGGAGAATGAAAATTAGAGAAGTGATGAAAAAGTATCCTGATGTGGATGAGAATGAGGAGCTTGATTCTGAAGAAAAGAGGATGAGAATGGAAAAGCTTTTGGCTGATTACCCCCTTATTGTGGACGAGGATGATCCTGATTGGCCTGAAGATGCTGATGGGCGGGGCTTCGGTTTGGATCAATTCTTCAACAAGATTACTATCAAGAATAAGAAGAAGGATGATGATGATGAGAATTATGATAGTGATAAAGAGATTGTGTGGCAAGATGATGATTACATCCGTCCAATAAAAGACATTACCACTGCAGGATGGGAGGAGGCTGTATTCAAAGACATCAGTCCTTTGATTGTCTTAGTACATAATCGCTATAAAAGGTTGGCTTTGGTTTTATTCAAGTTGTTTGATGCTTTACTCAAGCTATTTTGCCTTATTCAAGTTGAAATTCTTAGATTGTTTTTCAGTTTTCTATGAAGGTACACCATTTTCATGATTGTTTGTGCATCATGGCTTCATTTATTAAAAACAAAGGGCTTGTTTTTCATTATTCTATGAAGGTGCACCATACTCATGATTGGTTTCTGCATCGTGGCTTCATTTATTAAGAAAAGGTCCCTTTTTATTCACTTATTTCCTTGCCTTGTTTAGGAGTGATGCTTTAGATTTCCCAGTTGTCAGGTAGTGTCATTACAATTAAGTATTGTAGTAGTCATTTACTGCTAGTTCTATCAGTATGACTTCATATATCTCTGGTCTCTTTTGGGAAACACTGAGTTTTTCAGGTGCTTTCTTTGAAATTCCACATGATTTCTTGGCCTATAAAATCCACAAAATGGTATATAACAAAGCGCAGTAGAGTTCTAGGTTTGGGGAATGCCTTAGGGTCAGGGTTTTATTGTTGGCTTTGCTGGGAAGGAAATGCTAGAAATGATAATGGCTTGAATTATTTGTATGCTATAGATATCTTTTCCTAGTCCTGTGAAATCCTTCATGATACTAGAGTTCGCACTTTCAATCTGCACATTAATGGCTGGATCTATGACACATAAAATAAAATTGCTGTTAATTTCACCTAAATTTATGGTTTCCCCAGACCAAAGGAAAATGAAAAAATTCGAGATGCACTGGAGAAGGCTGTGCACATCATTTGGAATTGCAGACTACCTTCACCCAGAGTAAGTAGAGCCTCTAATTATGCACCCTTTACCTTTCCTCCCTTGCCAGAGATTCTTATCTCAAAATTTTAATATTATATTTGCATATGACACAGTGTGTTGCGATTGATGCTGTTGTTGAGACTGATTTGGTCGCTGCTCTAAAAGTTTGTGTCTTCCCAGAAATTATTTTTACTAAAGCAGGAAAGATACTGTACCGTGAGAAAGGTAATTCCTTGATCCCAAGAAATTGTCAGTTCAATTTCTTATCTCATTTTCAATATATGACTTGAGAACTTTAATATTCTTCTTCTTCTTTAATTGGCGGTGCAGCCATTCGAACTGCAGATGAATTTTCAAAAATAATGGCATACTTCTATTACGGAGCTGGCAAGCCACCTTGTTTGAATGACATTGGAGATAGCCAGGAATTGATCCCATCTGTTCATGTAAGCAGCCAATCATTCTAAAATTGTGGCTGTACTGTAAATATCGTAGAGGTGCAAGTTTTCCATAGTTAGTGATGGTAAGATAGGGTCTCTGAGTTTGCTTTTTCACAAGAACTGCAAGGGATGTGTGTAGGCAGAAGGTGGTAAAACTGGTGCTTTGTTTGTAAGAAAAGTGTAGGTGGGTGGAGTGCAAAGTTAATTAAGCCAACTGGAAAACAGTCCTTGAGCACTACCTCAAAGCTCGTTCTTTATTCCACACATACAAATGAAGGTACATCACGATCATGAAAGTAAGATAAATTTTAAGTAAGAGATTTAACGCATGCATGCATAATACTGCATGTAGTCTAGAAGTGCTTTTGTGACTGCTATTAGTCTTCAGGACATCACTCGTTGTGAACACCACAAGAGCAGAAGGCTTTGTGATAGTGGAAGCGAAATGCAAAGAGCTGGTAAGTATTGGAGCCATCTAACTTGCATTCAGATACACCCACAGTTCTCTTATCTTTCTTCTCTTCAAAAACTGTTAGACATTTTCCTGTACTACGATTCACCCAATATCTGAATTCTCGGTGGTTTAGTCTCTTTGGTGGATTGATGGATTTCCAATCAGCCTGTCCTAAGCTTTGCAGTGACTTCAATGAACGAAGGCTCACCTTGCCCTTCTTGTCTACAGTTAGATAGCTTTGTCCACCTGAGCATCTGTCCATGTAGTTTCTAAACCTGTG